ATTATACTGTAATATATATATATATACCATATTATATTCTATATTATAAAAAAATATAACAAATAAAAATATATTTTTTACTATTTCATATACTTAATGTTATATATTAAATTGTAATAATACTAATAAATAAATAGTAGGCCTATTATTTGTAAAATTATAAAATGTTAATAAAATAAATTTTTTAATTAATTAAAAATAAATAAATAAAAATATGAAAAATGTATTATACATACATATACATATATAAAATTATAATATATATTTTGAAAATTATATATATACGTTTTTTTTTTTTTTTTCCTCAATTTTTTTATTTTGATTTGGGGGTGAAAGAAAACCTGAATATGTTCTTCATATGATTCACTCATTAAGAGAAAGTTAACTTCAATCACAACCATTTATACAAGCAAACCACTGACATCTGGAACAGTAAAGTCAGTGCGGATGAGAGGAAAAGTCTGGGTGGCTGTTTGTGTCTGTATGTAAACTATTTCAGCTATCAGTGGCCGGAATGTGTCAGACCCACCACCCCAGACACCCTCGGGGGGAGTGACACAGAGACACGCCTCCTTTACGTTACTATAACTACTGTATGCTAATGAGCTGAGCTGCAGCCTCTCAGCTTCACCTCAACAGGAGGTAACGCTAATCATACTACAATCCGTCTGGCTGCTTTCTTAGTCTTCATTAACATTCATAATGCATCAGACGCACTACGTATACAATGCCCACAGTGATAAACTACTAATGAGCAGGAACAAAAGCATCGCCCGTCTCAAGTGTGGATGTACTGCATGTGTAAACACCAATGATTGAAGCGGATTTAATTGTAATAAAAGAGACAAGTGAGAGCAAAATAGGTTATCAGCTCCGTATCTGATGAGGGAGACAGTGAGAGTGCGAGAGAGAAATCCAAGGAGAGGGAAAGACGGTGATAACGCACTAATCTACAGATCTCCACAACAGATGGAACTTCAAGCGTCTGATCACTGGATGGGCCGCAGCTTCAGCGCCAACAAAGCCTATTCATGGAGAGACATTCTTCAGCCATCCTTTTCAAATCCCCCTCCAAATGAGTCTCCTCTCTTTCGATTAACCCGCCCCTCCCAAGACCACCAAAAATGGGCCAAGCCCATCTTAAACATGACAAAGAACAAGTTTGTTTATGCCTTCCTTTTAAAGCACATAACTTGAGTTTTCCTACACTCTTAAAATGAAAGGTTCCAAAAAAGTGCTCTGCAGATAGAAGAACCATTTAAGGTTCCCCAAAGAACCTTTCAGTGAGCAGTTCTTAAGGAACCATTTTTTCTAAGCGTGTAGAACATTTGAATATTCTAAAGAACCTTTTGTCAAATGGAAAGGCTCCATGGATGTTAAAGGTTCTTCATGGGGCCGTCAATGCCAATTAAAAAGAGGTTCCATTTCTTGGTTCTGTTCCATTTCCATGGAAGAACCATTTTTGGTTCCCCAAAGAACCTTTCAGGGAACAGTTCTTCAAAGAACCATTTTTTGAACATTTCAATAATCTAAAGAACCCTTTCCCCATCATAAAGAACCAATGTGCAATTGAAAGTTTCAATGTGGTTCTTCATGGAACCATTAATGCATTTATTAGAAGCTTTATTTGTAAAAGTGTAGTGAACTTGTTACATATGGACATCATGCGTGTATATAAACCACATATGAGAACATGTCTTAAATTGGTTGCATTTGACCATAAAAAATGCACCGGAAGAGCTGGGTGTTTGTTTCCATTTACGATACGGCGGAAACACCCTTGGATCAGCGATGTTCCTCCTCTCCCGCCTCCACCTGCTCTAAAGTGTCATCTCTTTTGAAAGCGTGACAACCGTTTTGGATGCTGCAGAAGGTTCACAGGCATTTTAAAACCGTGGACTCTAATTTCTTACAAAAGCCTTGCCCTGCTTCTCTAAAGAGACATGTTTAAGCCATTCTACTCCGCATTCCTGGGAACAAAAGCAGCGGGACTCATTCTGCCCTTAAAAGCGAAGAGAAAGTTGATATGATGCCGTGGCTGCAGTTAAATGAGGCATATGCCAGCTGGCGGGGGGCTGGAGGGTCTCTTCTAGAAGAATGTGTAAAGACGAGGGCTGAAGTTTGTTAATCCTTTCATTCTGAAGGAGGAGGGTTCGAACCGACAGGCTTTGAGGAAAGATGAGAACCCGACGCTGTGACCGTTTCCAGGCATCTGAACCAAATGACACAAATCAGATTCACCTAGAGACTAAATTCTGACTTGCTGTAGATGGATTTCAGTTACAGTCTTTCTGGAGTTATCACGTCTTGCTCAAGGGCACAATTGTGTTCGTCCATTGTTGGTCTGAACCTACAACCTTTAGGTTAACAAGTGCACTTCTTTAACTACTAGGCAACACTTTCATCAATGTCACGCTCAGCTGGTGAAAGCAGTGAACGACAGCACGGCAAAAACTCACGGGCATTCCTTTTAAAGAAAAAAGAAAGCACCTGGGAGCAATTTACAGATATCACTGTGTATCCTCTGTAGACAAGTATGTCATGGACAATTGACTGCACTTAACTTCAAATCTAAATAAACAATGCATCTACTTTCGGAAGGCCAAATAAAGTGCTTTTGCTTTCGCCTAGAAACACACAGCGTCTCCCTGACATGGCTGCTTCAACACTAACTGCGGTTACTGAAACCACGCCTTCTTTCTTTGCGTGCACATTTGGGCGGCATTATGCTAATATTTCCACATAGTGAGGTAGATATGTGGGGGGCGTGTTAGAACAAGCCGTTTTAGGGAGGCGTGGCTGACTCTTAACTTTGGTTTTGAGACTTTAGTCTTTGCAACTTCAGGGATCTTATCTATGCACAATCAGCTTGTAACACTCCAAAGAGAAAGGAAAACTTGAAATCGCATCATATGACCCCTTTAAAGGGAGCAGAAAGGATGTGGGTTTTGATTTCCTTCGGTCATTTCATCCCTTGATCCATGTTTTATTCATTAATAGTATAAATAATGAAAAAAATATCACATATCGTAATGAATAAAATATAGTATGACTAAAATATATTCACAATATAGTAAGGAATAAAAGTATTCATCAAATGCATTTCCTTTAACATTTTAAATACTGTGATTTTTAAATGATTTCTGCTAATAATAATAATAATAATAATAAATAATTTCTTGAAACTCTGTATAAATGTGCTTTGTGGCAAGTTTTCAGATTGTCCATTTCACATTACTACAGTGTTGCCCTAAATTGATGGGTTTTTAGTTTATTAAACCATTTGCCTGTTATTATTTATTTATTTAAAACAAATTACATTTAAAGGATGTGAAAATCTAAAGGACAGGGAAATGCTGCAAAATAAGTGGTCATTAAAATGCAAGCATGGTAGAAGTTCATCTTTTTGCAGGACAATGATCCCACCCATAAAGATTAAATTAACATTTGACTAGCAACAGAACAATGAGGAAAATGGCCTACAATGGCTGTGTCAAAGACCCCAATCCAATAGAGGATCTAGGCACTATATAAGATAATTGTGGTGTTCAAGAATCAATTGACTAATCTGCAGGAAACCTGAACTAAATACATAAATAAATCCTCCACCTCAACACTGATGAAGCACTTCCATCTAGTGGTGAAAGCATGTAATACACTAATACACTTGAAGAATACTAGACCAGTGGTTCCCAGACTCCACGACCTGAAATAAGTGTGTCAGACAAGGAGACATGCAAAATGTGCAGTGTTGTGTAATATATATCTAAAATAAACTGTTTCAGTTGTGTACAGCCCATATAGCCTTTACACATAAGTCAACCTCTGACAATCCATCACTGTGCAAGTTACAAAATGTACAAAAATGTGGTAATGTACGACTTGAAAGATATGTTGGAGGGCACTGCTTTACTGGGACAAATAGACTAAACTAAACAAACGAATGTTTATATCATTTAAAAGAATAATTTTATCTGTTCAACACATTTAGATTCAACATGTTCACTTACTAATAACTATTAACTAATAAAATACTGTTAGAATTAATACTATTAGTATTACTTACATGAACGCAGAGAGATAGGGACTGACTTTGGTTTTGCCTGATATTATAGTTTTTGTAAATATATGACAGAAAAAAAATCTGTTGATAAAAAATTGCGATATTGTATGAAAACAAACACTTCCTTGTCACGACAGTAGTCATGTTTCTTTAAATGACACATCTTTTTCTATAGCTTTATTATATTACTTTACTCTATGAAGTAATGTGTTATTATAAATAGTCTTAAATGTCCAGTAAATGTCATGTAATGTCATAATGTTTATAAAATAAAGTCAAAAATCAAATGAAATGGTATGTTGTTATTATAAATTGGTTATTATAGTTAGGGTTAATATAGTTAACTAAAACTAAAATAAATGAATGAATGGATGAATATTTATTACAGCTAGTTGCCAAAGCAACATTCCTCATTTTCATTTCATTTAACTTGATGAACGAACATAACTAAAACTGAAATAAAATGAATAAAAACTATAATAGTATCTAAAAAACGAACAATAATACTATACTAAACAATCACCACTGATAAAGTGGAAATGTTGCTATATTTAATAATTGTAGGTAAAGCTGCTATGTGAGGTAACCAGTGAGGGCCCGGGGAAGGGACTAGACTACTTGTTTACCTAAACCGCCCCCTTTCCCACCAGTTAACGCCTTATCAACTGATCAGAGAGCTGTCTGTTTGTGTAGAGTTTTCATAGTTCCCCTGAAGCTGAATTCAGATCAGCACTTAGAGGGGTTTAGTAAAGCTCAAACCCGCCTCCTGGAAGGCAGCCCGAGGATATAGTAAAATGGCTGAAAAGCAGAAACACGAAGGCAGGGTAAAGATAGGACACTACATCCTCGGAGACACGCTGGGAGTCGGGACATTTGGAAAAGTGAAGAGTTAAGTCTATTCATTTACTAGACGTGTTTGAATGTTGCATGGGATGGAAGTGCGAACGTATGTTTTCGGGGTGGTAGTGCTGAACTTGCCGGCTGACGTTCTGCGCAATTTACGTAGCATAGATTGCGTAGGAAGAGCCTCCGCTAACGTCCCCCAGGCGCATAGAGTGCGTGTGCTGTTAGTGAATACAACGCAGAGCTGGAAATTCTTTCAGCACCACAGGAGTAGACGCTACACTTGCGAACGTGTTTGCGTAAATGTTTAGTATCACACCATTTGGGAAACTAGCTGGCATTTCGGGAATATATAGGTCTCAAGTACTTACGCTTATATAAGAAACAGCTGTTGTAAATTGTAGCATTCTTTTCACAATATTACTGTTTTTACTGCATTTTTGATCAAATAAATGCAGCCTTGATAAGCATAAAAGACATATTTTAAAAACATTAAAAAACCTTACCAGTCCCAAACGTCATTTTTTTTGTAGTCATATAAAATATCTTTACAAATATTTATTAAAAATTAAATATATTTATATAACCAGCAATTATTTTTTAACAAATTGTGAGCATAAGAGTCAAAAACACAAGAAAATACCCACTGTAAGGGTAGGTCAGAGTGTAGTTATTATAACTAAAGAACAACATACATTTATGGGAGGTCTTCACAAATATGTGGATAAGCATGTGCGTGTGTGTGGATCCCCACCTTTGCCATTTTGTAGAAATATCTCCTGCTTGTTACAGTAATGTGCAAGACTGATAATATAACAAATCAAACAAATTTGGGTATTTGCTTTCATAATTTTCGCTGAGCAGTATCTAATACTATATAAGCAATTATCTTAAGGCTAGTATATGAAAGTCCAAACTCAGAGTAGATCAGGTTTTGTTTGTTTGAATGGAGGGCTCAGACCTGAAAGGAAAGTCTCCTCTCTTTCTTTGTTTTCTTAGAAGGTTTGTGTTTGAGGTCGCTGGCCTACAGCGCTGATGCTTGCTTTCTTTGGAATAAAACGTATCTTTCATCAGCTATGTTTACAATACCGAACTGCTGGTGATGGAGTCTTCATTGATGCGTGTATGTTTGGCCAACAGTTGGAGAGCACCAGCTAACAGGACATAAAGTTGCCGTGAAGATCCTCAACAGACAGAAGATCCGCAGTCTCGATGTCGTGGGGAAAATTAAACGAGAGATTCAAAACCTTAAGCTCTTCAGACATCCACACATCATCAAGCTGTGAGTCAATCACACATAAAAACATGAAAAACACAATCAACAGAAACAAAATCAGCTGAAAACCATGATGAGTATGTTTGTGCAGTGCACCGGTGAGCTGATTATCAACCTTGTTTGAACAAAAAGTAATTTTAATTAATAGTAATTACACTGGGTTGATGACTTAAAGCTTCTTAAAGATTTCAAAAGACTGCAATTTCAAGAGACTTTAATATGGTGCTCTTAAAAGTTTAGGAGTATTACAAGGATTATTACACATGCTGACGGTATGTACTTGATGTGTGCTACTTTTATGAGCTTCAACTTTACTAATGACAAAGATTTGATTAGTAATTCTTTTTTTGTGGGCAAATACTTCAAAGGCGATTTGATTGAATATGTCAGAACGGATTTCTTTCCACTATGTGGTTAGACATGTGCAAATAATTGATTTTAATGAGTCCTACTGAAAAGACCATCTTTGACCTGCTTACATTTCCATGCTGGTCCAGTCTGGTGTGTTCTGGAAGCTGGTAGAGCAATTTTGTTCTCTAGCAAAGCCTAGCGCTCCAATTCAAAACAACCATTTATTGAAACTGAGCTGCAAAAACGGCCTGTTCTGAAATTGTTCTGTAATCAGCTTATTAGAATGATTTCTGAAGGAGTTCTGAAAACTGGAGATGATTCAGCTTTGCCATCACAGGAATACATTACATTTTAAAATATATTAAAATAGAAAACCATTATTTTAAATTGTACAATATTATTGTATATATATATATATATATATATATAGATATATTACAGATTACTTTAACTCATATGGATTACTTTATCACAGAATATTAGTTTTCGATAAGACTTGCTTCGTTTAAAAGTAGTCATGTCAAGCTTTCTATAGATATATCTCTCATGTCTGTGTGTCGAGTATTCGCTGAGTTTCAGTTAATTTTTGTGACGCGTTCCTAAATGAAGATCATGGAGACCGAGGCGGCAGACAGTGCACCCTGTTTGTTTTCTTTATTTGACAAAAGCACAAAGGTTTGTTGTTATTATGACTGTATACAAATAAAAGTAGACCCTTTACAGATTCGATTGATGTATTTCTCTTATCTGTAAGTTCCTTTAGGGGTTATCAGAAAAAAATGCCACAAAACACGCCGGCGCGTTAGTTGATCCCAGAGGGTTAAAATAGAAAACAATTATTTTAAATTGTACAATATTATTGTGTATATATATTTATATATATATATATATATATATATATATATATATTAGTGCTGTCACACAATTAATCG